TTGTAAATCAATACGTAAAGAAAGGTTTGACTATATTGAAAGATCTTGACTTTCTCTCTCAATGTTCATGTGATGTTCTTGAATGCTATATCCTAATCTGCCATTGTTATGAAGATTATTGAAGATTGATCAATGAAATTAGGGACTCACAAATTTCTTCATCAGCTTTGGAATCGAACATTCCAAGTTGGTCACGGTTGTTGAGAATGAAACACCTGCAACCAAATATATGAAGAAAGTTGAGCGAAAGATTTCTGCTATGGAAGAGTTCGTAAGTTGTCTTCTTAAATGTCTTAACAATCAGCGATCGGTTTTGAGTAAAACAAGCAGTATTAACAGCTTCAACCCAAAAATGAGTAGGAAGATGAGATTCGCTAAGCATTAATCGAGCAGCCTCGATAATTGTTCGATTTCTCCTTTTAGTGACCCCATTTTGTTGTGGAGTTCTTACATAAGAGAAGTTTCGAGAGATTCCCTTGTTCTCAAAGAAGCTATCCATACTGTTTTTGAATTCAGTTTCATCACTTCTAATAGATCGTACTTTAATATTGTTAAGTACTTTTATCCTTTTAATGAACGAGAAAAATTTTCTTCAGGTGCTTCACTTTTGAATCTGAGAAAGAAGCCCCAAGTGTACATGGAGTACTCATCAACAATGGCAAATGTATATTTCTTTCCAGCTATAGATTGTGCGTTGATTGGATCAAAGAGATTCATGTGCAATAGCTGAAGTGGAGAGGTCACTGAAGAGATTTGCTTATACTTGAAGCTAGTTCTTGTTTGTTTTCTTTTTTCACACGTTGAGCAAAGAGATTCCTTTGCAAAGGTGTGTTGAGGAAGACCGGTGATGAGATCATCTCGAGAAAGCTCACTGAGTGTCTTGAAGTTGAGATGAGAAAGCCATTGGGACCATAGCCAGTTGATGTCTAACGAAGCTTTTGAGAGAAAACAACTGTTCTCGGTAACAGAAGAATCCATGTTGATGACGTATACGTTCTCTAGGTGAGAACCGGTTAGAGAAACCTTATCATCCTTGTCAAAGACGTAGCATGAATTCTTAGAAAGTTTTACTGTGAAATCTTTGTCACACAGCTGACTGATGCAAAGAAGATTATGATTCAGTTCTTCAACATATGCAACATGTTTGACAATAGTTGCACCATTGGTTAATATACCAAAGCCCTTGGTATATCCTTTTCCGTTTTCTCTAAAGGTTACGGAAGGGCCTCTTACTTCCTTGTAATCAATGAGCAGGGATTTTTCTCCAGTCATGTGTCTCGGGCATCCATTATCAAGATACCAAATGCCTTTGATCTCTTGCACACGGAAACAGATTAAGATTGCTTTGGTACCCATTTTTCTTTGCGTCCTACAGAATTAGGGCAACATCCACTAAAGCAGAAGACTCAGAGTCAGCAGATGTCTTCACTGAGCATGAAGAAGAACAACCCCTGACGCTGAAGACTTAGAGTTAGTAGGTGTCTTCATTGAGCTTGAGGAAAAAGCTTCAGTGGTTTTCTTCACTTTAGTTGTTTTAGCAACTTTAGTGGTAGATTTCACCTTGGTCGATTTCTCAGCCTTCGCTACTTTCTTTCCCTTGGCTGGAGGAGAAGCATTGGCGGCAGAAGTACACTTGCTGGCAATATGGGTAGTTTCACCATAGTGTTTACACTTCCTATAGTTGAAACCAGCTTTAGGGCCAGGAAGTACCTAAGGAACAGAAGAGGGACAAAACTCCAAGGATTCCCTTCCATCTATTCTAGGAGGAACAACTGAGGATTTAGAGTTCTTAGGTGAAACATTCACCATGAGCTTAGACTTAACTTGTCACGAACTGAGGATTTAGAGTCCTTAGGTGAAACATTCACAAGTTAATGATTTATAGATGACAAAGCTTCAAGTCGTGACAAGTTAAGTCTAAGCTCAAGGTGAATGTTTCACCTAAGGACTCTAAATCCTCAGTTGTTCCTCCTAGAACAAATGAGAAGGGAGTCCTTGGAGTGTGTCCCTCTTCTATTCCTCTGGTACTTCCTGGCCCTAAAGCTGGTTTCAGCTATAGGAAGTGTAGACAGAGTGGTGAAACTACACATATTGCCAGCAAGTGTCCTTCTACCACCAAGGCTGGTCCTCCAGCCACGGGAAAGAAAGTAGCCAAGCAGAAATCGACCAAGGTGAAATCTGCCACTAAAGTTGTTAAAACAACTAATGTGAAGAAAACCACTAAAGCCTCTTCCTCAGGCTCAGTGAAAACACCTACTGACTCTAAGTCTTCAGTGTTAGGGTTGTTGTTCCTAATACCACTGAAGACTCTTCTTCAGTCTCAGTGAAGATTTCTGCTAACTCTAAGTCTTCAATTTTAGTGGATGTTGCCTCTAACACCGTTGGACGGAAATAGAAATAGGTACCAAAGCAATCTTAATATGTTTCTATGTGTAGGAAGTCAAAGGCATTTTATATCTCGATAGTGGATGCTCCGTTGGTCCCGTTAGGGTTTACAAGATGTGTATAACATTTTGTAAAAGGGGGGATGAATACAAACACAGTAAACTTTTCAAATTTAAAATATATATTGATAAAGAAGGATCAATACAGATTTTACAAGATTGTTTGCGGAAARATAATGTAAATAAAACCTATCTAAAAAATCTAAGGTTACACACTAGTTCTTAGCAAATAGAGAAAAGATTTGTTGTAAAAGACTTTGAAGAAAGTAAGTTCTTTCTGTGTAAGAACTATTTAGAATACAATAAAGGGATTATAACTTGCTTTTGAAGATGAGCATATTGTGTTCTTAAAAGTGTGTTCTTTTACGTATGAACGTAAGTTAGGGTTCAAGAGTAAGTATCAGTCAAAAGTATCTCTGCATGGAGATATAACACATCTATTTATACCCATTGCATTAAATGCACATTTAATGCAACGTAGAAGGGTTAGAACACGTGTCAAGCCTTTAGAGAATGACTTGTCTTTTGCTACAATGAATAGTACAAAAGTCTATTCATGAGCATACATCTATTCACAAAATATGTGCGTAGTAGAGTCAACTAATCGGCTCCGTACCGTACTATACTTTAGAAAGGGTATAGGTTTGTCCTTTGTGTGTATAAGGACAAGACAAAAACAAAACAAGCTTCTTTTGATCATTGAATGCTGTTGAAGGTCTCTTCAGCATTCGCTGAGTCTTGGGCAGTCTTCACACATATGTAGACCAGGTTGTAATCACTAAACACCGCTTCACATCACCTACTCGTCAGTCTCTAATCTTAAGTTTCAGTCTTTGACTTTTGCTGAAGGTTCTTTGGTGTAAGTTTTGTCTTCTTGTAGTATCGTTGTCGCTGCTGGATTTACAATACAAGTTCTTCAGCGATCACAGAACAGACTCATTGATGATCGCTAGAACTGAAAGACAAAAACATAAATACTTTGTATAAGGTAAAAGGGATTATTATCAAATCACTGAAAGAGAGAACCAACAATCTCCCCCTATTTGATGATAACAAGACAACATAAAGAAAGTTGTCTTATCAAATAATAGTAAAAAAAGTTACACATAAAGTATAAGTCCCTTTTAACTATTTTAGGATCTTTTTTCAGTGAGTCAGTCTTTACTTAGAAAAATTTCTTAAGTTTAAGCCTAAGAAAATATTACAAGAAGGGAAACTGAAATTGAAAGCTTATTCACTGACTTATAGATTGTCAGTGAATGTAAGGGTAACATTGGAACTCATACACTTGTGTTTCTATTACTCTTTTCAGGGATCTTTTTCAGTGATGCACTACTTATATTAAATTCAAAGAAGATATTACAAGAGTTTCAGTACTTGTCTAAACTTACATATGATAAGAATAATCACTGAAAGTAGATATAGTAAGTAGTTTACAGTACATGGACAATATTACAAAGGAAATAAACTTGTCTAAATTGTTTAGATTTATGTAACCAGGTACATCTTCTCCAAGCTTCTTTCGACATTGAAATTCCCTTCGTATCTTTCGTTCCATAACTCTTTCTTTTAAGTCACATCTAGCCAGAACATGAGGAAAACCAGGGGTTCCATAGGGTATAGATGTAACTCAGACATTCTCAAAAATCTTACTTCACCATCATAGTCAAGGAATATAACTCCTGACTCAGGCTTGAAGTGCACAATGTTGGGTGCATAAGGACCCTTCGCTGGCAATGTAAGATTCAGCATTGAGATGTCTGGACTCTCAGAATCCTTCAGGACTTGAAGGTCTTTTCTTCCTTCCTCCTTTTTTCAGCGTTGGCCTTTCAGGGACTACGACATACCTGGACACCTTCTTGATCAAATCGCTGTTGATGTCTTTGATATTTGACTTATGTCTGGATTTGGAGGGTTGAATGGCTTGTCTGATTTCCAACCATTCGTTGTAGCCATACTCGCGAAGATAGGAGGGGTACTCGGTCACGACATCGAGATTGTCCCTAGTGATGAGCATTGAGAGCAATGTTCCACTATCTTTTGATCATCCCCTGAAGCTGACGCTCTTAATTGGGTGAGGACTTACTCTTTTGTTCATGCTTGCTTTGCTCCAACGCTTGTCCCGCTCAGCCAGATTCAGGCTTTTCTCGTGCTCAGCTTCTGCAAGAGAGAGGAGCTTAGCTTGGGCTTGGACAGCGTTCACCTTCTTTTTGGACTTTCTCTTGGGAATCTTAGCTAGAGACTTGGTCAGATTTAGGCTGTCCTCAGTCTGCTTCTTTTGAAGTTCAAGCTCTTCTTCAGCCCTTAATGCCTCGAGTCTCTCATCTTCCGTCAGAAAGTCAAACTCACCACCACTAGAGGTACGAAGAGTATTTTTCCTCTAGTCTGGTTGAGTGACTCCCTGAGCTGAGTCATCCGCTGGTCGGTGGGAACACTGGAGATTGGGTTCTCAGGGACCCATTCCAGCCGACCGCAGGTAGTAAAAGAGATTTCAAGTTGATATAAAGATGTAATGACTACCTAAGAGGTAGAGTCTTCATATAAGGGTTGAGGGTTTTAAAGCAATACCTTCAGGTTCCCTTCTTCAGCAACGCCTTTGCCTTTCGACTTACGGTCTTGGTTCTTTTCAGGAGCAGACTCTTCTTCCATTTGTTTCCCCTGGGATGCGGAATCCTTAAGAGTAACTCCTTTGGTGGCAGTTGTTGGACGCTGAAACTGAATGGTGATGTCATCTTCATCATCGTCGTCATCATCACCATCAGGATCATTGCCGGAGTCTGGAAGATCAAGTTCATCACTTTCTTCGTCATCTTCTTCATCATCTTCATCTCCCCCATTACCAGCAATAGGTGTAGAGGTGATGGGAAGGTCATCATCACGAGGGATGGCATCAACGTCCTCAACTATAGCAGCTTCACTGGAGGTTGGGATATCACAGGCAACCACAGCATCAACTTCAGCTCTAGGAGCGTTGGACCTTATCTCCCCCCTCTCCGGCTAAGGCTTGAGAGCATAGGCCAGAGAATTGGTCAACATTGTGGATCTGTAGAACCATCAACTCCTCTAGCCGTGTCAAAGCGCTGGCCAGGTTGTTCGTCGCTTCTCACGTCTCATTAAGTTGAACGCGGTCATCAGCGGTGAAGGAGGGAGGAGTCACTGGTGCTGGTTGGCAAACAAAGACCAGAACTTGTTGGAGTAGCTCCGCCTGCTGGAGAGACTAAGCTTATGCTTCATCAGCCATGCTTGTGAGAATAGTGATGGTTTCAGCATTAGCTCTAACCGCCTCTTGGAGAGAGGAGAGATGGCTCTTCACTTCTTAGACTTCAGCCTTGATAGCTGAGAGGTCTGCAGCGACATCTTCCTTATGAGGCGTGTCCTTATGGACTTCGTCCATTTTGATAAGGACCGTCTCGACGACTGGGAGAATAAGCTTGACGTCCATCGCCATGTCGTACTCCTCTTCTTCTTGATCCATGGCTTGAGCCTGAGATGAACCTGAAAGTGAAGGAGAGTGAGTAAATAGAAGCTCGGGGTTAGAAGAAGTGAAAGGATAGGAGGATGGAATACCTGAGGGGTCATCAGCGATATTTGAAGGATTATCGCTGGTTGGCTCCATGATGCGCTCGATAGGAAGAGCACCAGTATACTGAGGAGCCTCGAGAGGAGCTACCTCAGGTCCAGTGGTGAATGTCTCATCATCAGGGAGGACTGACACTGATGATTCATTGACATGTGTAGCGACCAAGGAAGGAAAGGAGGAGAAGATGGCTGAGAGAACTTGTGGGTGTTCATTGATGGCGGCACTAATATTCACACCTTCAGTAATTTGAGTCACTGAGGCGGTTGGGGTAGGTGCCACTGATACGACAGTGATGTCAGGAATCACTAAAGAGCTTGGGAAGCTAGCTAAAAGTACCCCGGGGTTTAGGCTAATTTCAATAGCTGAGACCTGTAGAGAGGTCACAACCAGTGATGTGGCTATCCCCTTTTTGGCTTTCTTGGCTCTTTGAGGAGAACCAAGAGTTGGTTGTGAAGGACGTTTGGAAGAACGGGTTTTGGTGGCTGTGATAGACGTAGGGGGTTTTCCTTTGTCTTCACCACCTGAGGAGGATGAGGAGGGAAGAAATGCACCACTGACGAGAGTGCTACATCTCCTTCCCTAAGCTTGTGATCCAGAATCATGGATCCAAGCCTACACACCGGGAGGTTACCTTCCATGGAGTATTTTTCGCCAAGGATTTTGGCGAAACCCATGGAGTGGAACCTGGTGTATGGATCCACCTTTTCTCGCTGGCCCTTGTTCAGCTTCAGTGTCAGGTCATCAAAAATCACAGCAACATAGTTTATCACGCGATGCTAAATCGCGGATACTCCTATCTTGAGGGCGTCACGGGAGGTTTGATCTTATCCGCCAGTCTTTTCACCCATAGATTGGATGAAGTGGGAAAGAGTATTGCCAGACAGCTGACATCATGTTCTTCTCAATCTTGGATAGGGACATGATGGGTTCGCTAGTGTCCTTCTTTAGTGGCCATTGATAGCCAATGGCATCAAGATAAGCGATGATCTCGTAGGTGGAGGGTTCGCTATCGAATAGACCCTTGGGAAAATGTAGAGCATGCCTTAGGGTGGCCACGCCAAAGTTTGCGGTCATGCGGTTGAAGGTAAAAGAGATTTTCTCGACCTTTCGATCGTGCCTATCTTTTTCCTGCACCACTTCAGCAATAAACCAGAATTGCTAAAGGACATCTTGAGGAATGCAGCGGTGTCCTCGTAAATGGTTTTGTTTGAAAGAATGTCCAACAAGGCAACATGGTTGTTAGCCTTGAAGGAGATGTCTTCAATCGAGAAGTTGATATTTTTGGCAGCCATTTTTCTGTTTTTGGTAAGAAAATAAGAGAGAAAAACAGTTGTTAATAGTACAATATTTGGTTATCGTTTTAAGTTTTAGAACAATAAAACTTCTTTTGAAAAATCCACAATGAGATATTACGGTTTTTCAAGTAGAATACAGTTTTTGAAACAAGATTATAATCAAGATAGAGAATGTGTTATTAATCTTTATGTTCATGTTTTAAGAAAACAAAGTTCTTAAAATAGCAAACATATGTTTCACAGAGAGAAGAAGAAACAGTTCTAAGTTTTTTTAAAAAAAGGAGTATCGACCTTAGAATGGTTGAGAAGAAGGTCGAAGGTTTTGAGTTCTTAGTTGTTCTTGAGTTCTTGCTTGCAAATACTTTTGGGCAGAGTTTCGTCAAAGATTTTTGTAAGCGTAAAGAAAATATGAGGGAAGAGATCCCATATTTATAGGTAGGAAGAGAGAGAAGTTAAGTAGGAGAGAGGAAAAATACGACGGTTGAGAAAAGGCCATGATGAGAAATATGGGACGTTCTCATCCATGATTGGATGGAGGATAAAGTAGGTCACGTGTGTCAAACCTTTTTGTGCGTCTCAAAGCGTTTCGTAATGTAAACAGAGAATGTCGTCATTAAGACGGTTCATTAACTATTTCTTTTAAAAACGAAAAGGTTTTTAAGAAATTTTAAGAATCACATTTAGTGATAGAAATATTACTGAATAAACCTTTTAAAACATTTTAATCACTGAAGAAGAAAAGCTTCAGTGATGAATTTGTTTTAAGACAAAGAGCTGAAAATTGCTTAGAATATATTTTCATAAGGATTTCAGTATCAGTGATATGAGAATCACTGAAACTGACATTTTAATCACTAAAGATGGAAAGGTTCAGTGATCATTTTGATTTTAAGAAAATATAAGTATAAAAGAGATATACTTACATAAAAATGTTCAGCGAGTGAAAGAATCACTGAATAAACTTTTAAAACATTTTGATCACTGAAGAAAGAAAGCTTCAGTGATAGTTTTAAGTTTTAAGAAAAAAAAGAAAAAGTAAACATACCTTAGAGAGAGTAGATACATTTACTCAAGAATTCAGTGATAGAGATAGAGCACGGAATCATTTCACTTTGGATTGATGGTATAGCTGAATAAAATTATTATTCAGCATTTAGCATCCCCAATTCGCTGATCAAGATGTTAAATCTTGTCTCATCATAGTCGATTCCTTCTTCTTGTCTATATGTTTGGTCTTGGAGTGAAGTACAGGGTTGTTAGCGATTACAATAGCACTAGTGCTATCACAAAAGATAGGAATCATTGAGAACTGAAGGTCGTAGTCTTTCAGCTGATTTTTCATCCAAAGAACTTGGGCACAGCAACTTCCAGTGGCTACATATTCAGCTTCACCGGTTGATGTGGATACTGAGTTTTGCTTCTTACTTGTCCAGCTCACCAACTTTCCACCTAGAAGCTGACAACCTCCAGTGGTGTTTTTTCTTTCGATCTTGCAACCTGCAAAATCACTACCGAATAACCTATTAGGTCAAAACCTGAACCCTTAGGGTACCAGAGACCCAAATTAGGAGTTCCCTTCAGGTATCTGAAGATGCGTTTTGCAGCAATCAGATGGGATTCCTTGGGTTCAGATTAATACCGTGCACATAAGCAAGTAGAATACATGATATCTGGTCGACTAGTTCTTAGATATAGCAGGAAGCCGATCATTCATCTATAAACAGTTACTTTTACAAGATTTCCATTTAGATCCTTGTTCAAAGAGAGTGGAGGAGCCATTGGAGTCTGTATAGATGAGCATATCGTGGACATACTTACTTTAACTAATAAAGAATCCTTTATCTGATTGCTTAATTTGGAGACCTAAAAAGAAGGTTAGTTCTCCCATCATGGCCATCTGGTATTCTTTCTTCATGCGATCAGCGAATTGAAAACATAAAGAAGGATTAATGGAACCAAAAATAATATCATCGACATTAATTTGAACTAGAATGATATGACCTTTAACTTTCATAAGAGATAAGGGTTGGTCAATCTTTTCATGAACAAATTTCTCAGAGATGAGAAGCTAGGAGAAGGTTCATACCAGGCACGAGGAGCCTATTTCAACCCATAAAAATCTTTATCCAAATGATAGACATGGTTTGGATACTTAGGGTCAAGAAACCCTGGAGCTTGATCAACATAAACTTCCTCTTAAAGTTTTCCATTAAGGAAAGCACTCTTTACATCCATTTGGTAGACTTTAAAGTCTCTATGGGCAACAAAGACAAGAAAGAGTCAAATTGGTTCGAGTCTAGCCACTAGTGCGAAGGTCTCATCATAGTCGATTCCTTCTTCTTGTCTATAACCCGGAGCAACAAGTCGAGTCTTGTTACAGGTTTCCACACCTTCTTCATCTAACTTGTTGCGATAGACCCATTTGGTGTCTTTCACTATCTTGTCAGATGGACGTCGCACAAGGTACCAGATTTTGTTCTTATCAAATTCAATAAGCTCCTCTTGCATAGCAGTGACCCAACTAGGGTCTGAGATAGTATCATTGATCTTCATGGGTTCAACTAAAGAGAGAAAGTTGACAAAGAGACAGATATTACCTAGACCAATACGGGTCTTAATACCTGCTCCTGGATCACCAAGAATTTGATGAATTGGATGGTCTTTAGTCCATCGCTGAGCTGGTAGAGGATTATCATCTGAGTATAGAAGTTTAGGAACAAAGGATGAGGCTTCAGCTGTAGTGTCTTCAGCGATTGGAACAATTGCTAAAGAAGCCTCAGATTCAACGACTGAAATAGGTTCAGATGCTGAAGGCATTTCATTCTCTGATTGATCAGTGTTTGAAGTAGAAGGAGGAACACAGCTAATGGGCACAGTAGCGATCTCTGAATAAGACACATTGGTATGACTAGCTGTAATTGGAATGATTAATGGTTCATCTTCAGCTTCTGGGGCTTCAGTGTTGAGAGGAACGCTGAAGGAAGCTTCAAGTTGTCCATAATGAGAGAACATCCAGTTTTCTAATTCATCTTCATCATTTAAGATGGGTTTTTGAATTAGCTGACTGAGATTCATCAAAAGTGAGATGAATAGTTTCTTCTATCGTCAGTCGGCGTTTGTTGAATACTCTGAAGGCTTTGGATACTGAAGAATATCCAAAAAATATTCCTTCATCAGCTTTGGGATCGAACATTCCTAGTTGATCAAGGTTGTTGAGAATACAACACGTGCAACCAAAGATGTGTAGAAAGCTAATAGAAGGTTTCTTCCATGGAAAAGTTCATAAGCTGTCTTCTTGAACCTCTTAACGATCAGCGACTGATTTTGAGTGAAACAAACGGTGTTGACAACTTCAGCCCAGAAATGAGTAGGGAGATGGGACTCGCTGAGCATTGATCGAGCAGCCTCAATGATTGTTCGATTTCTCCTTTCAACGACCCCATTTTGCTGAAGAGTTCTCACTAAAGAAAAATTGTGAGAAATTCTCTTGTCCTCAAAGAAGTTATCCATAGTACTGTTTTTGAATTCAGTACCATGCTCACTTCTAATAGATCGTACTTTAATGTTGTTAAATACTTCTATTTTCTTGATGAACGATAGGATTTCTTCAGGTGCTTCGCTTTTGGATCTGTGAAAGAAAATCCAAGTGTACCTGGAATACTCATCAACAATGACAAGTGTATACTTCATTCCAGCAATAGATTGCATATGTGCAGTAGCTGAAGAGGCATTGTCACTGAAGAGATTTGTTTTGATTTAAAGCTAGCTCTTGTTTTTTTTTCCTTTCTCACACGCTGAGAAAAGAGATTCCTTTGTAAAGGAGTGTTGAGGAAGTCCAGAGACTAAATCATTTGTAGACAACTCACTGAATGCCTTGAAGTTAATATGAGAGAGCCCTTTGTGCCACAGCCAGTTGATATCTGGCGAGTACATGATCTGAAGCTGTTGGATCTGAATCCAACTTTGGTATTGATCTAATACTCTAAATAAGCTCTAAAACAATTGAAGTGCAGCGGAAATATTAATAAGAGCAAAACAGAGTGAGTAAGTGATTAGAATTTCTAAACACACCAAGAACACACAGTCTCAACGAAGAAGATGAATGCAAGAAAATTACTCCAAAGGTTTTTAATCAATTCAATTGAAAATTTTGACAATAACAATACTGGAATCACACAGTTTACAAAGGCCCTATCCGCTATTTATACTAGTTCCTAACGACCTTAGAGACTAGATCTTGACACGTGTCTTCATCTGAGTCGTCCAAAGAAAGTCGATTAAGCCCTAGTCACGTGAGAAGCACATGCGGCTAACTACCTTTGAAAACTGTTAGAACAGAAACTTCACAGAATATGAAAACCGCAGACCCTCTGTGAGCCATCTCAGAGGCTCTGCTGTAAATGACTTGCGTGTTCTTTTGACAGAGGACTATTTTCCAGAACCTCTGTGAGACACATCAGAGGTTCTGCCACTCTTCACTTGCTCGATTATACGGCTTCTGTCGCTAATCCTCTATTGTCTTCTGTGGAGTTAACCTTCTGTCAAGACTTACAATATACTTTTTCTATACTTTTACAAGATAGGAATAATGGAGTTAACAATCTCCCCCTAAGTATTGAAAAAGTAATTGTGGACAGTTGGGTGCAAGATTTGACTTAAGGAAAAATACAAGAGGAGATTAATCTCATCCTCTACAAATCCTCTACAAAAATTTACATTACTGAAAGAAGTAAAAATTGTGCAGGCCTACACTATTACAAAAGTTTACTCAACAGCAGAGTCTGGATAATCGTCTACAGCGTATTGCAAATCAGTCTTGTAGACCTTGAAGATCCATTCCCTGAATGAGACTTGTATTTTGATGGTTTCCAGAAGGTCTATTACTTCATCCGCCCTTATTCGCCCTTTCTGCACCTCTGCCACCACCGAGTTGAACACCCATTTGAGGGACTCTGTTGAATACTTATGCGCCTCTTTCGGATCGAAGAATCTTAGTA